TGGTTTATGTTTTAGAAAAACAAAAATCAATTTCTTGCGTTTGAAACAATCAAGATCTAAACAGCACAATCGAATGCCTAGTTATAACTAAAGAAGAAATGAAAAGGGATGGTTATACGAACCAGGTCAAGAGGAAAGGCTCATCGAGGTTGTTGAAGACATTGATGACGACATTGTTGTTGGAGGTGGAGTTTAGGTTAGGACCAGGGAACTGTCCGTTGATGAGAATCACCTGTTGAGGAATCCCTAGAGGCGCGACGGTTCCGTACGTCACGTTCCACGTGTAGTAGAAGTAAGGATCACCGGCGTTCACCATCGCCACCGTGGTGGCGAGGCACACCAACACCGTCAAAAGTCTACCACCCTGCATTTCTGCTTCTTTTTATTTTTCTCTTATTAATAAATTAACCCTTTCCTATATAAAAATATTTAATTATTTTTCTCAAAAGCAAGAAGAAACTATGTTCTCTTGCTCTTGACGAGTTTTTTCGTGATGTTGTGATTAACTATTTATGCAGGTGAAAACACCTTGGTTCGCACGAAATTGTCGCCTTTTTCCACGCTTCATCTCTAATTATTTTCTTTTCTTTTTTTTTATGTGAAAATTCTATTTTTGAATCTCTCTACGTTATTAGGGTTTCGACTTTTTGAACGAGCACACAACTCGGATCTTGTTCTAATATTGGAAATGTTCTCTAACGATGCCAAATTAACTACCCACATTTGTCATCAATTGCTTTTTCTTTGTTTTAACATACTTCAGCTACGGTTGATTATTCTTATACACGGACAATAATATTATGGTCTCGTAATAAAACTACGTACCTAAGTTATACTTTGTAATTTTTACATTAAGAACTCGTACTTTAACAAAAAAAAAAACATTAAGAACTCGTACCTTCATTTTTGTTTATAAAAATTTTGTTTTTGGTTTAAAGGATATTTTATAAATACAAGTTCTTTTCTTTTTGTAAAAAATATGTATCCAATATGGGAAAAATAATGATTAAAAAAGAAAAATTAGAAAATGCTTATTTTATTTGATCGCTACTTCACTAATTTATGTTGGGTTATTCCATTTCACCCACACTTGAGAATGAAAAAATCTAAAGTCTTTTAGCAAAATGGATAGTCAAACTGAAGCAAGAGAGAAGAAATCAGATGGGCCGTAAAACCCATATGACAGAAAACCGTGAAACCCAAAGTATGAGTCCGACGAATGAATTGTGATTCCATATGTAAACTGCACATTCCTATTTTTCCTCTGTTGGAATATCATTACAAATGGTCCTATTCATTCATCTATGGAGGCAGAAATTGAGGCTTTGAGAATTGCGATCATTGATTTGCATCGACTAGGTTATACAGAAGTGACCTCCTATGGAGATTTGCAGTCCTTTTACAGCCTATTACGGAATTATCGATGTCAAAGAAGCTCTTCATAGTTTTTCTTTTAATAAACCGTAGGAGTTTTGAACTTTTGGTTCATATTTCATAATCTCCTCGCTATCCGGAATCAGACTTTAGATATTCCGATTTAAAGAATAACCTTCCGTACCAAAGGGGGTTTGAACACAGAACACAAAAAAATAAACTTCATTTTGTTACCACTAGGCCATCACACAAGAACTCCTCAGAGTTGCAACACATCCGGTGGCTATTCATATACAAGATATCATAAGAATTTTGTTTCTTATGGTTTCTCTTTCAAAACGATTGGAAGAGTTGCTAATATCATGCAGATCAACTAGCCGAGCAAGCTAGATGTAATTCACAAAGCTACACCATAAGTGGACAATGTAACCTTAGCAATTTAATGAAGTTTTAGACGACAAAAAAAAAGAGAGGGTATCCCGTGAGTCCGTGATTGCAGCTTCTTTGAGCATCATTATCAATGATTTAGAGTGGGTATCATTAGCATTACTTTGTTATTAATTTTAATACTAGTTTAAGTTATGAGACCTATTAAGAACTTCTTAAGTTTGGAGTGATTAATGATGATATTCATTGGGTTTTAAAGAATAAAAAAATATTTTGTTTTATCCAAAATAAAATGAAAGAAA